CCTCTGCAAGAGCAGTCAGTGCTCTTAACCACTGAGCCATCTCTCCAGCCTCAGATTGTTGGTAAATTATAAATTGATATTAATGTATTGGTAAATTGAACTGAAAGTCTCTTGCCCTACCCTACACTGACTCCTCCAAATATTGCTGAGACATGGATGACCTTTTTGCTATAATGGACCCAGCCTCACAGTGACTCTTGAAGTGTTACACAGTTTTGATCTTTTTGTGAGTTGGGATGTAGCTCAGAGAGTGGGTAGAATGCTTGCATAGCATGCATATGACTCTAGGTTCAAGTTCCTAGCACAGAAGAAAAGTGTATACATGGGACCTGAGATGGCATTACGGGTGCTTGTTGCTCTTGCAGAGGATCCAAGATTGGTTCCAAGCCCTACATCAGGTGCTCAGAACTGCCTGTAACTCCAGTACCAGGGATCCAACATCCTTTTCTGGCCTCCAGAGACACCTCCCCACACATGTGGCATACACTTACATGAAAATAAAAAAGTACACACACATGTATAGTATAGATAGACATGAAGCTCCATGGTCAAAGACTGTGATATAGTAAAACAAAAGAGTATCTTGGTCTTTTTTCTAGTACAGATCTAAACCCTCTGAAGAGTTTGGAGTCATAGGTCTGTCTTTTGTTATTGATATAGAGCTGCTTTTGACAATACTAGAGTTTTTGCTATTGAGGTGACCATAATGGAGCCCTAGATTGATTTGTAAGGCTCCTGGGGGCCAGAGAACTAGCTTTTGTGATTGGAGTGTTAAAACTCTCAGCACATCCTGACTTCTGGCAAGGAGACATATAGGTGATTCAGTTTAGTCACTAGTGACTCATAAGTTAACCAGTCACACCTATGTGTTAAAACCCCATGTAGAAAAACCTAAACTGGGGCTGGAGAGATAGCTTAGTGGTTAACACTGGTTGTTCTTGCAGAAGACCTGGGTTCAAATCCCAGCACCCACATGGCAGCTAACAACCATCCATAATTCCAGTCCCAGGGGATCTGAAAGCCTCTTCTGATCTCCGGAGCATTGCACTACATGGGTGCACTTCCCTACATGCAGGCAATACACGCATACACATAAATCTAAACCACAGGGATGAGATGACCTCCAGGTTGGTGAACACATGAATGTGCTAGGATGGCAGTGTGCCAGAGCACGCTTTGACACTGGGTCCCCTTCCTACCCTCCTTCCCTCATCTACCAGTTTATTTGTATCCTTCATAACAAACTGTAATACAAATACAGCTCTTCCCTGAGTTCTGTGAGTTACAGGACCAAGAGGAGTGTGGGAGTCTCCAAATTTGTGGTTGGCCTGGAGAATGTTGCAATAACCAACAAGAGATAGTTTAAGATTTTCAGATAACAACTTTCAAATCTTTGACAGGAACCACATGTCCTACAATTCATTTCTGCCACTAAGAAAGCAGTTGGAAGAGACCCTAGGAGTTAAAGGCTCAGTCCTAAATAAGGCTGCCCTCACTGGAGATGCCAGCTGCAGACGGGGTTTTCAGCAGCTTCTGCTTTTGGCAGGTCATCTGCAGTGAAGAGGTTCTAACATGTGGTCTTCATGAGCTCTAACAGTCATGGTCCACACCACTTTTGAGCTTTTTTCAGTAATTATATCTGAAACTGAAAAAAGATATTAAATGGGTATTTTACATATTATCTATGAGACCATGGCAACAGATTTTTTGAGACATGATCTCCCAATGTAGCCCTGGTTAGCCTGAAACTTGCTGTGTAGACCAGGCTGGCCTCAAACTCAGAGCTCTGCCTGTCTCTACCTTCAGAGTTCCTGGGAATAAAGATGTGTGCTCCCACGCCCGACTTGGATGATTTTTAATTCCGGTTACTGCTAGCAGCAGATTGTAAAGGATCCAAGTCTGAATGAGGCTTGAATACCAGTGAGTAGAGAAGGGCAAATGCAGCAAGGAAGCAAGAATTAGAATTAGGTAAAGAGGGTGACTTCAACCAGGTGCTCAGCTTTAATCTCAGCACTCAGGAGGCAGAGGCAGGTGGATCTCTGCGAGTTCTTTCCCATTGAGAGGGTTTTAAGTTCAGTTAGATAACTGTTGATTACCCCCTAGGTAACAGTGCCACTACTGCACCAATAGAGACAGTTTTCTGTGCCAGTCCTTGTGGTTATTGGGTTTTAAAGTTGGGTTGGACCACCGATTTTCTTCCTTAACAGCTTGCATAGTATCCTCTAGAACTATGAGAGCTAAACTTCAGGGAGGCTTCCAGGTCAGTTCCAGCTCCATTGCTTCAAGTCCTGTGACTGAAGTATGTCCTATCTTCAGCAATAGGGTCTTACCTTCAAGTTCTGGGAGGTAATCAAGGGCTGTGGCAATAGCCTGTGTTATTTTGGGAATCTCTTGAACTACCCTGATCAGAGGGAAATTTATTAACTCAAAAACCTCCTGAAAAATACACATACATCTGAACATTAGCGCATGTGTATAGCCGAAGGATATATACAGAACACAGTGCCAGACAGGAGAAACCTCCCTTTGAGTTAAAAATTTTAAAGTTGTAAAATAACCATAACAGTTTACCACCATCACCATTTTAGGTGTTAGACTGTTAATTCCTTAGTCTCTCCCTATTTCATAAAAATCATCTGCTTTTGAGGAATCCATTTCTGCCTGTCTTTAGCAAAGTGGCTTCAGACTCTGGGGCCTCAACTCCAATTGTATATGGCAAATTACCCCCAGCAGCATAGAACTCAAGAACAAAGACAGCTAACAGCAAAGCTAGTGCTGCCTGCGGGCGCTATCCAGGGTTCTGCTTCCTGCTGTGTCCTGCCGTGGAAACCTGGGCTGGGCTGCTTCTCAGCTGCATCCTGGCCCTTTCCAGGTGTTCCACACCTAGCCCAGACTGGTGTCCCTCATGCTGTGGAAAGACCTGTGTCCACCCCTCACCAGCCCTTGTCCCTCCCAATGCAGATCCCTACTCTGCCCTACCGGGCCTCCCTCTGGCTGTGCAGGCACTCTGCCCTGCACCTTGCTGGCCAGTGCTCCTCCCCCCATGCAGGTTGGTGGTCCTCCTCTGCGCCTGCCCGCAGTGCTCTTGGGGAAATATGGCACTGCTCAGGCTATGGAGCTTAAAGTGGGTTTCTCCTCCTCCTGCTCCAGAGCACAGATGCCTCACAGGACAGGGTTCTGTCTCATTCTGGCCTGCTGTTGAACCCAAGGGCGATTCACTGCATGCAGTTTAATAAACCTCAAAAGCCAGCTAGCATCTCTGGGTGTCTGTCCTCTGAGGAGACTCTAGTTCCAGTGTCCAGAGTTGGGCGCTGAAGGACCTGCTCAAGTTGGCAGAATAGGTTTCTCGAGAAAAGATTTCAGTAGAATTTCAGAATGCACATGTTACAGGAAGAGATGGATATTTTGGGCCCATTCATTCAGTATTGAAGCCCACAATGAGACACTGTAATTGGGCTGTAAATAGTGAACATAAGAGCCATGACTCTTGCCCTCCTTGATGTGGCAGTTACTTCCCTCTAAAATGCTCCACAATGATTTAGAAACAAGAATTTTGAGGAGGAAAAGGAGTGCAGTCTGCAGTGGAGTGATGAAACCCAGCCAGTTTCCTTGTTCCTATCAAGGATTAAGTGCCTGCCAGCGTGATCCCCACGTGGAACACCTTCACCAATGGGAGAAGGGACTTGATGCCAATTAGAGCCTGACAGTTTTTTGTTTTATTTAATTGAAGTGCTGAGGATGGAGCACAAGGCTTGAACCATGTTAGATAAGAGCTCACCACTTAACCCCAAACTCATCCCTGGATCCCAGCTTTAGAACTGTAATTTACACTGGTCCTTTAAGTCCCCAAGCCTTCACCCAAACAATCCATCTTCCCTGCTGGACAGCAGGTATAGGAGGCACTCAAGATTACAGGGAGGAGTCTCATTTTGCAGCTGTCCTTGCCAGTGAACCAGACATGCGTGTTATCCTGTGGCCTCCAGAACAACCTGCTTCCCACTCAATACCACCAAGGGACCACACTGCACCCCATTCGAAGTGCTTGGCGGAGCCCTTCCTGAATCTTCACCCACCAAGTCCTGACATTTAATGAGAGTTACATTTTAAGCCACGAAGTTTGGGGATGGTTTGTCCTACAGCTTTAAGTTTTTCACAGATAAGTTATGCCATGGTTTTACCAAATAAACCCATTTCTCTTTCTAACCCCAATAGCCTTCTGTTCAAGAAAACTCAGCCCTCTCATTCACTGAAGTGGATCTACACTTCTCCTGAAAGTAGTGATTCTCAAATACTGAAGTTCTCAAAAACTGCCTAAGTTATTTCAGATGTTCACTCCTAAGGACCCTCACCCAGATGTTCTTGTTCCTAAGTCTCATCTGGAACTCAAGAATCCACATTTTAAGACAGATACAAGTGACCTTGACATTGGCAGTCCTAAGCCCACACTTGGAGGGCATTTCAATAGAATATATTATACTTGCTGGGCGTGGTGGTGCATGCCTTTAATCCCAGCACTCAGGAGGCAGAGACAGGCTGATGCCTGTGAGTTCAAGGCCAGCCTGGTCTACATAGTGAGTTCCAGGACAGCTGGGACAAAAGGGAGACCCTGTCTAAAAAAAACAAAAAAAAAAAAAAAAAAAAAACCAACAAAAAAGAATATACTATACTGGAGCACAGCTGTGAACTAAGCCAGGGCTGTGGGAAAGGGAAGGGAAAGGAGCTTGTGAATCTCTTGTCCGTCTCATCCTCAATTTCCATGCTTCTTCTTCCTGAGTTCTTAAAACACTGTACAATTAGTGTTTTGTGATTTTTCATTTTATTCTCTCAACCTCTGTGCCAAATACAACAAACAATTTACAGAGAAGTGATTAACCCATCCCTAAGGGAAGTGCAGTTCAATCTCTCTGGATACAGGTCAGTGACTACAAGCTAAGGACCCAAGACCTTGTCACTTGAAGTTTTTGTTTTTTACTTTTTAAAGGAGTATCAGGTTCTTCACATCAGAAATACTGCCACCAGCACCCGCTGCCTTCATTATCATAATGTGACTTAATGACCAAGAGTGGATTGTTAACTCTTACAGCTTCTAGAAGCTTCTTTGCCTTCTCATCAACCTTCTCTTTGTCCAACCTAAGAAAATAAATGAACATTTTCCAGTCTTCTATAATTTCAGGAGAGGAAAGAAAAGGACCTTCTTTGCCAAAATAGAAAATTTAGCATTTATGGAGAGAGGGAAAGTGTAAAGAGGAATACAGTGAAGGAGATGAAGCAAACGGACATGAAATATAGAAGGGAGATTACAATTAAGGGCCTTCCAGGGGCCTTTGTCTAGGGAGGAACAAGCATTACTGATGAGGAAAGTAGCCAAAACATTCCTGTTTATTATGCTAGTGATGAAAGCCCTGAGCTTAAATCAGAGATCCTCATAATGACCCTGTAGACAGACTATCATTTAACCCACTTTACAGATGAGATCAAAACAAATTAGGGAAGGAGCCCAAGTTAAGCAGTGAGAAGTAGGGCCAGAATGCAAACTCTGTCTGGCTCCAGATCTCTCTCCACCAGAAGGCTGCAGGTTGGGTCTTTGGGCAGTTAATAAATGAATGGGCCCCCAAGTCCCTCACTACAGCAATCACTCCCTCTGAGAAGCAACTGAAGACTTACCCTAGAACTTCCAGTTTGCATTCCGGAGAACCCAAGACTTCACATAAATTTCTAATTCCTTCATACCCTAAGGTGTTCTTTGTCAGGTTTATTCTTAACAATTTTTGGTTGCCATGCAGAGAAGTGGAGAGATCCTGACAGCAGGCAGAGGTCAGACCACAATGTTCCAACCTGGAGGGAAGAGACAAAAATGGCCTTATCTCGTGGCACAGGGCAGACCCTTAAGAGACTGTGAGCACCGAGTGAGAACTAGTTCCAGAACTAAAAAACAAAACCCCAAACCAAACATAAATATAGCTAGAGTAAATTCAAGAACCATAACTAATACTTGTATTAGATATTTATGGGTTGAACATGTCTTTCTGACATGATCTACAATTTTATAATTACAAGTCCAAGGGATAATTATGCAAGTATATTATAAAGCTGTTGAAGTTTTTTAAATTTATGATTGTGTGTGGTGGAGCATGTGTGGCTGTCAGAGGGAGTTGGTTCTCTGTCTGAAAGCCTTTTTGTGGGCTACAGGAGATGAAACTCTGGCCAAGTGCTGTTACTCTCCGAGCCATCTCACCAGCCTTACACTTGAATTCTTGAACTAAGGATAAACTAAAAACAGTAATAGAGGTAAATTTTTGAATCTTGGTACTAAATGTTTAAAAAGCAAGGAATACTGAAGTCTCAAACAGAACTGTCATTTATACAAACAAAAACACTTAGGGCGATGGAGAGATGTCTCAGCAGCATTTCCAGTTTCACAACTGCAGACCTGTGACACCTTGGTGACAGAAAAGACTGACACAAAATACTATGCTCATGATTCTTCTGCCAGCGTCCATTAGAAAGGAGAAATCATTAGATTATAAAGGATAAATCAAAGTCTCAGACCCAACAGTTACATCATTGTTATGATAAAAAACAGTGGAAACAGGAAAAGCAGCTCTTTCCTGGAAAAGTTTCAAGAAAGATTTTGGGGGGAAGACTAAATTCAAAAAAGTTTAAGTATCCTCCCAGAAGGCTCTGCTCTGTTAGGATTGGCTAAGGAAGGTCCTGGGGGGAGAGGAGGGCCCTTTCTTTTCCCCTCCTGACCAAGTCCTGCGTGGCTCTCCCTGCACTGTGTCCCCACAAAGCACGGCTGGCCAATGCTGCACTCTGGAGAATCACATCCCCTTGTCTGTCTCCTGTGCTGGCCCCTTTGCAGCAAGGCTTCTTCAGACCCTTGGGAGGTGGACCTTTCTTCTGTGGGGCCCTGACTGAAGCAGAGACAGAGGTCCCTTAGGACTAGCTGCTCAGGTCTCAGTGCTGGACACTGAAAGGCTGACAAGGCAGGCCTAGGTGCTCTCAGTTTCCCACCTGATAGGCACAAAGATGGCTGCTGCTTTGCCTCACTAGGTCAAGTGCAAATCTGCAGAGCTGGAGGCACAAGACAGACGTGGGTAGGAGGTGTCTTCAGACTGGTTAAGATAGGGCTTATAGGGAGGTGTCATGGGCCCCAGGCAGGATAGGTAGAGGTTATGGGGACACAAGAAGAGGTAGGAGCCTCTCACTCCAGAATCTGGGTTTAGTCTCTCACCCTTGAGAATTAAGAATTGACACAACTTGAGCTGGTGAGATGGCTCAGCTGGTAAAGGAGCTTGCCGCCATGCATGACTGGAGTTGGATCCCTGGGACCCACAGGGTACAAGGAGAGAGCCGACTCTTGGAAGTTTTCTTCTGATCTCCACATACACAATAAATGTTATAAATTTTTTGAAAAGGTTTAAATATATCGTTGACTCTGAGTTTCCTACATAAGTATTATTATTTTACTCAGAGATAAAAAAGAGGTAAAGGTGAACTAGGAAGTCTCAGTTAAAGGATAAGTAAAACTCTGAATACAGGTCTGAGTGCACACAAGTATATAGGCAGAAGATGAGAAATCATGAGCTCTCCTTGAGAACTTAGTATTCTACAAAAAGGTGATCAGTAGCATCTTCCGTTTCATAAGAAAAATTTCAAGGAGAATTGGAGTATCTGAAAGACGACAGCACATGGAGGACCGAAATCAGATACTATTTACTTAATATTTTTCTGTCCAAAATGCTGAGATGAAAAGTGAGATGTGGCTTCTACAGCAAAGATCATGCATATTGGCTCATATTTCAAGTTCAAATTCTTCTTTCTCCGAGTCACTTACCTTCTAGCACCACTTGTTTTTCATTCACCACATGTAAAATTACTTCTGTCTCCTCTAACCACCAAAATAGACTTAAATAGAAAACCAAACTTACCCTAGCCTCTGAATATTGCAATTTGGATTTCTTAAAGCATCACACAGAATATGCACACCAGTGTCCTTCAAGTTGTTGTTCCCAAGCTGTAGGCTACACAGGTTTGGGTTGTTCACAAGAGCAGAAACAAGATCTACACAACATTCACTAGTGAGAATACAACCCATCAATCTGCAGGAAACACAAAAGAGTGAGCCTTTCAGTGGTGAGGCCGAACTCATCTCTTGCTGAGAGAGTTACCCAGGCATTTAAACCTCTTATCTAAATATTAATACAATCCAGGACACACATGAGATAGTGTAATTATCAACAGAAGGAGCTGGGATTTCTTTTCATTTCTTTTTATTTTTATTTGTGTATATAGTTGTGTGTCTGTGTGCCATGTGTGGGTGCCTATGAAAGCCAAAAGAGGGTATTGAATCCCCTGGAGTCTGAACTGAGCTCAGATCCTTTGCAAGAGCAGCAAACACTCTTAACCACTGAGCCATCTCTCCAACCCCCAGATGGGATTTTTTAATAGAAGAAACTAATAGTGAACAGTTGTCTCCCACAAATATATTATCTGTAAAGCATTCAAAGTCAAGTATATCAACATTCATTTTTACCAATTATTTAAAAACCCCTTTGGCCTCTGACTTTAGTTTTTAATGAATTTTTGAAATGTTTTTGAGGCTGGGAGTATAGATCAGAGTGGTAGAGTGAAAGAGAAAAAGAAAAAGGAACTTGTAATATTCTGTCTTAAAACTTTATCAAAATACTGTGTTTTTGGTGATGACATGACTATTATACTCATGAACTCACAACAGCTCTTGGTCAAATTTTTGGCATGGATGGAGGAAAGGCTGGTAAGGCCCCCCACCCTTAGCTGAAAGGCCCCTGCCCTTAGTCATCAGTTGCCAATAGCACTTCAGCTAAGGGAGGGAGAGTCATTTTTCTTTGGGAGTGTAGCTACTGGAGGTTGCCCACGTTCAGTAGATGGCTCCACACCCATTCACATAATGGGGATGCTAATTGGACTTAGTGGGTTTCAAAAAAAAAATAAAGACATGAAATCGGGAACAGAACATGTTGGGGGCCTCCAGGGGAGTTTGGGGATGGAGATGATTAAAATACATTGTATACATATATGAAATTATCAATACATGTCTAAAATTCTCAATTAGGACTATATGAAAATGTTATTAAAGAATACAAGAAGAAAGCTACATATAGAAAGATTTGTTCCAAGTTCTTTGCATACTCACAAGCTTTACCCAGTGGGACACAGGCCTGTAATTTTAGCTGCTTTGGAGGTTGAGGCAGGAGGATCACACAGTTCAGTGTGAGCAAGGCTAGCCTGAGCAAGATAGTGACATCCTGTCTCAAAAAGTATACACGCATTTTCCCAAATATGTCATATCTGTTGCTATTCCTTTACTCAATTTCCTTCTGCCCATAGTAGCTCCACAAGGGAAAATCCCCTTCATCTTTCAATCCTAAAGTAACTGTTTCCCATGTGATATCCTGCGTCTTGCTCCTTGAGACTTGTCCCTTCTTTTTGCCAACACAGGGAGTACATTAAAATTGGTCTCCTATTTTTATGTCATCAGCATTTTATTATTACTTAATGAGACTATCACCCTGATGACCTTCAGTTCCAACATTGGTATACATACATAAATGCAGGCAATACACTCATACACATAAAATATTTAAAACATTGGACTTTAGGGCAAGGTAGTAGTATCTGCCTGCAATCCCAGTACTCAGGAGGCAGAGGCAGGAGGACAGGGAGTTCTAAGCTAGCATAGCTACAAAGTGATATCCTGTCTCAAAACAACTAGACAGGGATCATGAGAGGGAAGGTAGAGCTCTCAGGATAGGTGGGGTAGGGCAGTGGAAGGCCTGTAGTAGGAAACATAAGGGGAGCCTAACTGGGGGAAGGAAGGAAACTAGCTGTCGGGGGGAGGGCATGGTAGAGTACCAGGAGGGATGAATGAACACAAAGCATAAGGACATAAACACCAACCTAACAAATTAAAAGAAATATTGTAGAATTAAAAAGAAGAAATCCTCAACATTGACCTAACTGGAAACGTATTTAAACATAAATCTGATAAGGAAGCCAGTAGAGAAATTTCAGCTTTGTGAGTAAAGATGATACACAACAGATTCACTAGGGCATGAAGAAAAAAAATGGCTACTGTTCAGTCTGGTGCCTGAGACCCTTTACCTGAGGGAAGCTGATTTTCATTGCCATGGTGACTTTGTTTTAAATCCTATGACCAGAATCCCCTAGTTTGTTTATGGAAGAAGGAAAATCAGCTCTTTTCTCTGATATGCACTTCTTAGGTCTTCCCTTTCCTCTCTCCCCTGCCCTCCTAGCCAGCCCACAGTTCAAAGTAAAGTTACAGAAAACCTACTCCAACTCCTGAAGATTGCAGGTTCGCTGCTGGAGGACGTGAAACAGAAGCTTTGCTCCACTGTCTTGAAGGCTGTTTGACCCAAGGTCCAGATGTGTGAGGCTCTTGTTGTGTAGAAGAGAAGTAGAGAGATACTCACTGCCCAGTGGAGTGAAATGGCAACTCCTCAGTCTGCAAGGAGGAAAGACGGGGTCAGTCTCTCCTGCCCAGCAGCAGTCTGTAAGGACTTGCCTCTGGACTACTCCATCTAGATTGGACCTCCTTACCTACCTGGTCTCACATGGGTCTCTCAGGTCTGCGTCATCGGGTCTGAAAACTGGACTCAGGTTCTTCAGAGTTAGTCTCAGTGACATTCTCACTTGGTAGCCCATGCTGGTCTAGAACTCACCATGAAGCCGAGGCGGGGTTTGAACTCGGGGATCTTCCTGCCTCAGCCTCCCCAGTTATTCCCCCACAGGAATACAGAACATAACACATGCCTTAAGGTTTTTCCTACTATAAATCAAAAGTTGCCCTCACTTTCACACAAATGCATACAGCACTCTTGCAAAAGCTACAGCATGGAACAGAGAAGCAGGCGAGAGCACATGCAGAATCACAGCAGGCATCCCTTGTATGGAACAGTGACATTTTTAAACAGTAAGACTTATTGTGCCATTAATGATTTTAGTACAGCGTGTCTGATAGAGAGGGAGAATAGTTACCCTTACCAAAATATTAACTTGGAAAAATACTTAATATGTAAATGTTAAATTCAGACCAAATTTGTAATCATTTAAAATATAAATGTTAAGAAGCAATTAAGATTATGAAATGACAATTACATTCCAATAAATTTCTAGTTATGATGAAAGCTCCAGGACTCATGAGGGAGAACATGACTTCACAAAATTTTAAGCCTCTAGGCTGGGTATGTCATCCACACCTGTAATGCCAGCACTTGGCAGGCTGAAGCAGGAGGGTTGCCAATTCAGGGATAGCCTGGACTATATAACAAGCTTAAAGTTAGCCTGAGTTACACAAAACCCTGTCTTAAAATTTAAAGGAACAAAGGTAGTTTAAAACCAAGTATGTGTAATAACCTTTCAGTACAGCATTTACAGAAAACATGCAGAAGAAACTGGAGTCTCTCACAAAGCAATTCCTAAAAGGCCCAAAACATTTGAAAACATGTTTAGCACCTTAGAAGTTAAACTGTCTAATGCTCATTAAGAAGATTGTAGAGGCCCAGTAGGCTGTTAAAATGCAAGCCCTTGGGCTGCTGCTGGGAGTAAGACATATCTGGAAGGCAAAGTATTCTGGTTTATCCGTTCCACATCTAGGAAATTATTTAGCCAAGGTGAATAAAATCAGGTTGTAGCTAAGCCACACAATAAAATGCTGTATTTGTTTAGTGCTGTTCACATACATACATTTACTTGCTCTAAGCCTAGGCTTTGGAATTGGGCAGCAGGTCCACTTTAACTCTGAATTTACCTTCTTATGAGACATTAGATAAATCACTGCACTCACATTCCTGACCTGTTCAGTGAGGCACTTGAAACTCTGGCTGTCAGTTTGATACCATCAGGTACTAGATTGTCAGATTAAACAAATTTAGCACAGGATCCAGAAAGAGTAAGGGTATAGTAAATGACATCTACTAATATGGTCATTATCACTAAAGATAACAGTAGACAGAAAAATGAAAGAACAAAATTTATTCCCAATATGTGTGTCTCCATTTGTCTAAGTCTACATAATGCTACTCGAACACAGCAACTGAAACTGGGAATTTGTAAACAAAATTTCTTACAGTTGTGAAGGCTGAGAAGTCTAAGAATTAAGGCTGCATCTTGTGAAGGCCTTTAAGAGAATATAAAAAAGCAAGAAGGAGGAGGCCCAAACTCATCCCCTCAGGAACCCACTGCTGTGGTAACCCAGGTAACCCACTCCTGAGAAAATTCCATTAATTTACCACCCTCATGATCTCATAACCTCTTCAAACTCTCACCTCTCAACACTGCTGCATAGAGAATTAAGTTTCCAACACATGAGTCTTGGGGGATGCATTTGAAGAATAGCATCATTTAAAATATATTTCAGGGATTGGAGATGTAGCTCAGTTGATAAAGTGCTTATGTAGAATGCATGAAACCCTTGGTTCAATTCTTAGCACTGCATAGGCCAGGCATGGTAAGCTATGTCCCAAGTACTAGTACTTGGAGGTAGAGGCAGGAGGTTGTCTATATATAGTCCAAAACATTTTATACTGGAAAGGTATAGACACTCACACAAGGCTCTTCAGAGTACACTGTGGGTATTTCAAGGCATCACTGATAAGCGTTATTCCATCATCTCCCAAGAAGTTGTCTGCCAAGCATAAATGCGTCAGCCTCTTGTTGCTGATCAGTGCCAAAGAAAGATCCTCACAGCCAACTTTTGTGAGGCCAGAGTTTGCTAAGCTGAAGGAGATACAGACAAGAGGGGATCCATTAATCCCCCAAATTCCTGCCTCTTCTTCACAGGGAAATTAGCTTACTGCTTACACCTGTACATATTTCCTATAGAATGCCCCTCAAACATACTTAAATTGTGAGTTTCATTATATCTAGGGATAGGAGAAAGTGAAACAAAACAGAAAAGTCTAGAAGACTATGAAAATAAAGTAAGAAACAAATTCAAAAATCAAATTAAAGATGAAGCAGGACTTTGGAAATACCTCAGAAGTGCTTGCCACATAAGTGTGAGGATCCGAGTTTGACCCCCAGCCCCATGTAAAAAGCTGGGTATGGTGTCATGTGTTTGTAATCCCAGATTCCTGAGGCTTGTTGGCCAACCAGCCTAGCCTATTTGATATCAGAGTTTCAGGCCAATGAGAGTCCCAGTCTCAGACTCAAGGTGAATGGCTCCTAAGGGACACCACAGTTTGACCTCTGGCTGCCACATGTACATGCACTCAAACCATACCCATGCACATAAACATTTGTACATACCTCATATACCCATTGCCCCCCCACCACACACACACAGGAGAAGGTGGGATCTAGGCATACAACTCAATGGTATTATGTGTACTTAGCATGTGCAAGGTTCTGGATTCAATCCCTAATACCAAGGAAAAAAATAAAAGGCCACATAGAGGAAGAAATGTGGAGATGCATGTAGAACTCATCCAGGATTGACAAAAGCCAGTTACTGTCCACCATACATTATTCATATTCAAATCATAAATTATAAACAAATTTACTCACGACAGTCTTTCTAGGCAACAGTCTGGATGTTCTAAGGCCTTACACAACAACTTCACTCCATCATCTGAAAGATTATTGGTCGACAGATTTAGAAACACCAGCCTCTTGTTTCTTATGAGCGCCTCGGAGAGATGTAGACAGTGAATTGGCTTCAGGTCACAGCATGTCAACCTGAAAACCACCACAGAACAACAGAAATGACACATTCACTCAGCTAGAGGGAGAGTGGGAATCTCCCACTGTTGGAGATCTTGCTGAAACTCCAGCTTCCTACAGAGAACAGAACATTTAGTAGCTAAAGCATATGGTCCAGAGTTGAGGCCCGAGCAGGAGGCTCCTCTCTCACATTTCCCAATTTCTTAAGAAAGTGTACATGAAAACAGTTTAAAATCCATGAAATAGTAATCTTCTAAGAGTTTCTTCCAACTACAACTTAGAAGGTGGACTGAAGATGTGCTTATTGCACACAGCTTTGTACAACAGTGGTAAAAGTAAGGCATAAGCAAAAGCTCATTGCTAAGAATGAAAACAAGGGGGATGTAGCTTAGTTGGTAGAGTGTATGCCTAACATGGTTCAATCCCAAGCACATTTAAAAAAAAAGAATGAGCACAAGAAGCATATCAGAGGTAAAACTACTTCTGAAATTAGTGTAAAAGAGTAAAAAAGCACATGGAGACCTAAGTAACTGTAGACTCTATTTTGAGAGGACTTGATTTGTGTACATGACTCACAGTCAAACCAGCTATGTGTAAGAAGAGTCAGGTGGCACAGTGTGCCTGGCAGTTGGAGCTCTTCCAAATATCCCCCCAGCCCTCTTTTGGGGACAGTCTATATCCCCAACCCCCAAGTACTGCCTTTAACTGATGGTTAACCTACTTGAGTCACTTGGGAATTTGTTCTCCCTATCAAAAATCAGGATTAGGAAGAACAGAAGCCCCATGTTAGTTTAATTTTTTGTCACTGTGACAAAATAACTGACAACTTAAGTGGGGAAAGATTTATTTTGCTCATAGTTTCACAAGTTCCAGTCAATTATGGTAGAGAGGGGACGGCAGAAGAGCGGTCCACAAGGTGGGCCGGAATGGGGGTTAGGGAGGGAAGCGGGGAGAGGGAGAGAGGAAGGGAAAGTGTGTGTGTTCTCTCATGAGTGTGCCAGTGCTGGGTGGGTGGGGGCCCATTTTCTCCCTTTATTCCATCTGGACTCCAAGCCTATAGATGGTGTCACTCACCTTCAGGGTGGAGCTTCCTCCCCGAGTGAGTTAATGTTGTTTGGATAAGTATTAAACTAGGTGTGATGGCAGATGCCTATAGTCCTAGAACTCAGGAGGCTGAGGCAGAGGGATCATTAGCTCAAGGCACGGCAAGGTTATGTCTCAGAAAACAAGCAGATGGAGGGTTCACACCTTTAAATAGTATTTAAACCCAATTGGTAAACATGAAACTATGCATAAAGTATATTAATGAGTTTATTAGAGTTAATGGAAACAAGAAACATTTGTGCAGTGCAGAGGATTTTGCCTTCTGGGTAATGCACCTGGGTGGCAGAACTGGCTTCAAAGCCTGTGCTCACTTCTCCAAGGCTGTTCCTGCTATGTGTCCCATATATCCCATGACTAAATCATCACACTGACAGGGCTCCTCACTTCTGTTGGTTTGCACACTGTCTTCTGTTAAATGTCTTACTAGCTCATAATGCAGCCAAGGCTCAGGATGGTCCCCTTTCCCAGTCCTAGTCCTCTTCTCCAACTACTTGGATGCTTTCCTTAGTATCTTCTAATTACAAATCTTTGAAGGAATGTTTTGGTGCTCTTCAGATGGCTCTTTAGTGGAACCAATAATTACTCTTCTATTCTGCTTGTCAACTCCCAAATAAGGGGGATTCTGGGTCCAATCATGAATTATTGACATGTCCCTAAAGACTCCATTTTTGTTCTTTTTCCATCTATTTTCTCACTGTATATGTATGTATATACATATATATACACACACACATATATATAAAACACGATATATACATACATGGTATACACAGTACATATATACACACAGTACATACATAATATATATATATACACACACACATATACATACACTATATATTTAATATTTGGAGACAAGGTCTCAGAGTAACCCTGCTGGCCTGGAACTCTATGTAGAGCAGACTGGCCTCAAGTTCAGAGATTCACCTGCCTTTGCCTCCAGAGTGTTGGGATTAAAAGTGTGCACCACCACACCCAGCTTTCCAAACATTTTAAGAGCTAACCTATTACGTACCTCACAATGTAGAAACTTTCAAGACATGGAAGGATTTTTGTCCTCATCTTGAGGTGAAATTTAGTAAATCAGTATATTATATTCATATGAAAACTAGTGATAATGTGTACCTTTTCACTATGCCCTGGTACAGGATCTGAAATGTCTAAATTTGAATTTTTCTGTAATGCTTTATTCATAAATGTGCAAAATTCCTACCATAATTGGGGACCATATTTTGCAGAGCAGCCTGGCAAATGTGAATTTGCAACACTTTCACTACCCAAATCATAAAATCAGGGAAAGCAAAATATCAAAATTCTAAAGAGTTAAACTTAGTGTTATAAATGCACAAATCACATTAATAAGAACACTGACAGTGTTCAACTCTAAATGCAAAGCAAATAAAGTTAGATCTCTTCCTACATGAAGTGCTAAGAGGTGATCCTACAAGACCACTGACTACCCTGTGGCTACCTACACTGAAGAACCACCAGTCCTCCATGCTGTAGTGCTGGATCACTGCAAACTTGGGTAACTCATGACAGAACACTATACAGTCACTATTCAGACTCCTACTAGTTAAGTCACATGATTTCCTACTTAAAAGCTTGCTACCTGGATCTACAAGTGTCATCAATGGACTACTTTATTCAGATCTCAACAGAAAGGGGTCTTATCAAGTCCTGCTGATCTTTCCAGTATCAAGATTTGTCTTAGATTGGCAGCTCACACATTAAGGAAATCTTTTTTTAAATTTTAAGTGTATGAGTTTATTCCCCACATGTAAGTGCACCTGTGTGGTGCAATGCCCTTGGAGGTCAGGAGTGGGTGTTAGATTCCCCTGGAACTGGAGTTACAGATAGTTGTTAGCTGCCATGTGGGTGCTAGGAATTGAGCCCAGGTCCTCTGCAAGAGCAACCAGTACTCTTAACTGCTGAGCCATCTTCTCTAGCCCCAAGGAAACGTTTTAAACCTTCTAATGGTTTTCTGCTATGAATGGTTCATTTTTAAAAAAGAACCAGTGGCATACTTCTTACCTGGCCTCCAGGTCAGATAGCACAGGTTATAGTCCTAACCCCAGTTCTAGGTGGTTAAGTTTCTATCTCAACCTGGCCTGCTCATGACTGTTCTTGACCAATGATTAAGAACTAAAAATTGCTCATCAGCTCTCTAAACATGCTATGTAACTGAATTTCATCTTTTAAAATACTGATTAAGACAAAAAAAAATCCCAGTAGCCACAAAATTCATCTTCCTGTTTTCAAAGGCCTTGTTTCCTATTTCTTTATTTCTCCAGCACCTGGATTATAATTTGCTTCCCACCAATAAGACTTACGTTGGTCCTTCATGCATCAAGTTTCAGTCTTGGCCTGCTAAAATGTTCAAGGATTAGAAAAAGACTTTTATGATGAAACCTACTCTGTTGGAGGGGGGGTGTATATATGTGTGTGTGTGTGTGTGTGTGTGTGTGTGTGTGTGTGTGTGTGTGTGTGAGAGAGAGAGAGAGAGAGAGAGAGAGAGAGAGAAATTGATTTAACTGACTTTCACTAGAAAATAAGTTTTCTCAAAAGCTGTTAGGCAGAGCCCAAGTATGACTGCTGCAGCTCTCACATTCATCAAGAGAATCTACTGGAAGGCCACCAATGAGAGGGCTCGTACATGACAGCAGTGCACACCTTGACGGTTGCCACACAGTTCTGTCTTAGCCTTCTGGCATTGGCCCTGAGCTGCGGTTGAATTTTGATAATGAATCCCCACAGCTTTCAAGTGCAAGTGAGCTCTTCCTAGCATTGTTCCCATTATCACTAGTAATACAATAAATATATCGCAGCCCTGAAATAAGAAAAAAATGCTCAATGTTCATAAATTTCTTGATCTGTTCTTATTTTTCCCCATTTTTAGGGGATGAAGACAGAATTCTATGATGAGAAGTATTCAGTGGGGGGTGGGATGAGCAAGCAGTCTTACTGGGAAGAAATGAACTGGACTCTATATCAATTCCTGAAACTCCGTATCAGGTAAGCAGATATCAGCTAGCCAGTCCTATTAACAGCAAGTCCGGGCGTCGAGAGTACACTGGGCAGACAGAAGTTTAAGTTGTAATAGAAAACTCGAGGCTTACCTCAGTTTCTGGAGTTCACATGTTAGGCATTTCAAGGCATCACATAAGGATTTTAATCCCTTGTCCTGCATGTCCATATCTTTCAGGTCGAGATGTATCAGATTCTGGTTGTGAGGCAGAAAACTAAAATCCTGAGAGTAATCCAGGAAATTGACAGCCCTCAACCTTCAGAAGAAATACATGCAGATGGATTACAGTCATTTCGGACTGTTTTAACATCCCTTTCTTTTCACTTCTAATTCTTACTCTCATCTCTTATCTGATTTTGTGTTTCTCATATTCCAAGTAAGGTTCTCGATCCAAATTTTAGTTGTGTAGAAAAACTGAGCTCCAGCTTAGCTTTGGACTTGTCCCCTGAGGGCTGACATCCCCAACTTTGACCTTAATGGAAAAGGTGCTAACATCCTGAAAGGCAGAGAGAAGCCTCTGAACTTTTAATCTCAGAAATGACTACCAATATTATCAGGACTGTACCACACACTGCAATGACAACATGAATTTGCAGTGCTTAAATTATTGACATAATCCAAAATGAATGCACAGTTAAAATCAGTGTCTAATGTTCATCATTAGCAGGATACATTGTTGCAAATATGCTCTGTCATCCTGTGGACTTTGTATACAGAGGCAGTGTATAAAGCAAAAATTGAGTTAATCATCCAATATTTCTTCCTATCTCCTAATTCCATTTGTAATCCATACATTTGATTTTTCTGCAGTACCTCTCTGGCCCCGAATTCCATTTGTCCAAACTGCACCATAACTATTAAAAACTCCAGTACCTAATCAACATTCTTCCTTCCAGTCCCTCTGCCCTGAGCCAAGCACCCACAGGAAAATAATTCTACCCATTTACAATACTAACCATTCTCATCCAGTCAACAGGTCTAAGTCATAGGTAACTAGGAATGGAAGCAGTTGTCAGGAGAAAGGGACTGACCACCAAGGAGGCTAAGACTGATTAGTCACCATGGTGTCATCCCTTTGAGGGAACTTTGTGTTCTTAAAGAAATCTTAGGCCCTCTGGCCCAAAAGGCAACCTTGGTTATAAAGATTTGGGTTGGTGACATTAGGTAGAAAGACAATGTGCTGGTGATGCTTGGGGATGAGTGAAAAGGACTCTAATACACCCAGTAGCTTCTATCTGCAGGTTTAGACCCACTCTATATATCTGAAATCTAAGAGCAGAACTCACTAAAATGAGATTCTAAGGAGAAATATTTGGCAGCAGGAAGCCTTTCTCCAAGAGAACATCTTTTAGTTATCCTAGAAACAAAGATCAGGGGGCTGGAGAAAAGGCTCAGTGGTTAAGAGCACTGCACTGGCTACTCTTACAGAAGACTCAGGTTCAAATCCCAACAACCACATGGCAGCTAACAACCTTTGGTAACTCTAGTTCCAGGGGCTCTGACACCCTCTTCTGTCCTCTATGGGCACTGCACGACATGGGTGCACTTACTACACACATGCAGACGTAATATTCATACACAGAAAATAAAAATAAATAAAAAAATTAAAAAGATCTATCATTTGTTTGGCATTCAGTTACATGCTCCTAACTGTCAAACAGATGCTGGGAAAGTGACAGACACTGAATACAGAGCAGAGCAGAAACAGTTCTAGCTCCCAGGAGAGGCGACAGCAAGCAGCATGCAAACGTGCACATTTAAAAAACTCAGAGTATCTAGAGTAAATTAAGATTTTAGGATGGACAACAGTAAATGTTGCCAAGTGTGAGGACGAGGTGGAACATTCATATACTGCTGATGGGCATAACCATGTTGCAGAACTGTGTGGCATTTTCTTAACATACATCTTGGACTGGGTACCTCATTCCTAAGCATTAGCCAAAATGAAAACATGTCACAAAAAGCTAAAAATTCATAGTAGCCTCATAATAGCTAAAAAGTGAAAACACACCAGGGTCTGTTAACAAGACAGCGAACAAATTTATTGTATAGTCATACCATACAATGTTAATCAACACACAATGCTAATCAATAAAAACAGACTTCAATAGGAAACAATAAAGTTTCAAATATTGTTGGAAAAGAAATAGAATGTATTAATTAAATGATTTCCATGAAGAGACAAAGCTGATCTGTGGTAGCAGATTTTAGAAAGTGATTTCCACTAGCACTGGATGACATGAGAGCACTGAACAGGAAGGGGTCAAGGAGCATTTTCATCACCTCAAGAATGGCTTTTTACGTGGTTTTGGGTATTGGTTACATAGATGTTTGTAACTGCTATTTACCATGTCACACATTTAATATGTCCGCATTTTATAAATTAGAAATGTATCAAAAGAAAATAAAGCCATATATTTCATGACATGCCTTTGAATATGCTTTTGTGATCTGCTTTGAAGGTCTTAAATTCCATTCTCCTCTTCATCTAGAAAATTCCTCACCAAGCCTCAAAGCCCAGGCCAACAGCTCTACCAGTGATGGAGTCTTTCCCAGAACAAGCAAGTTATGCTCAATCCAAGAACTTCCATAGTTCATGTTCTTAGAGTATTTTGCACAATGGGTTTTAAGAACAGTCATGCATCATTTACTGATGGAAAGATACTTTTAACATTAGGCGATTCTGGCATTGTGCAAACATGAAGGACTTACATAACCTAAGGTGGCTCTAAGGTCACTAGACAATAGACTCTTAGGGGATCATCATTCCTCATTGATCAAAGGTCTGTCACGTAACAGTTTACTACTCATTTCTCCTTAAAAAAAAAAAAAAAAAAGGGTAGGATAAAGAAAAATGGGGAAATGCCATTACAATTTCTCTTGCCAGACTTACACTAGTTTTTGTAGTTTACAGTTTGGGTGCCTTAGTTCTTGACTTAAAATATTCATCATTAATTCATCAAAGGTGCTGTCATACAGACACAATTCTCTCAGATCTTCATTGTTATGAAGCGCAGAAAAGAGATCTTGCCAGCCGTGGGTAACACGATCAACATCTTCTTGCCTGTGTAATTGGGAAAAGACCGGAGAATCTATTTTTACCCATGTGATGCTCCGAAGATGGGGTAAGAGCAAGTAATGCTATGAAAGAGCCTTAGTGCATTTTTGCTGTGGGCAGTCTGCCAGGACATCCTCTCTTGCCAGCCAAAGGTTTTATTTTCCCAAGCTTCCCCCATCTCCTATCTATTCCCTCAAAATGTGAAATAAAAGCTACAGAGACTTCACTTTAAAGGGAGAAACTCAAGAGGAAGAAGTCTTCAAATATCTGAACAGCTAATAAGAAAAACAGGACTACAAAGAGTAATATTATAAATATCAAGGCATTGTGGTAAAGATTAAGAACTATAAGCTTAAGGAGCTAGCAGATGCTGCAGTGGTAGAGTACTTACCTAACATGCAAAAGGCTCTGGGTTTGATCAACACAGGTTTTCAAAAACAGGTTTTGAGCTCCAAGTCTACCACTTACCTAGCAATACCACCTTAAGCAAGTCACAGTATTTCTATGAGCCCTAAGTTTTTCCGTGTATAAAATAGAAATATCATTTCCCTTTATAGAGTTGTCAGAATTTAATAAAGTTGAGTGGGGTCACAAAATACTTTTTAAAACATTGCAATGTAGCATAAGTTATTATGAATATTAGTAACAAACATTATAATCAGATTAATGGTAATAAGTAAAATGGACAGGCTAGTGACTATAGGTATACACTGAGGGCAGCCAAGACCTAGATCTGCTCTGCCATGCATCTAACTGGCAAACTTTAGAACCACTGTGAACCTCAGCTTCTTCATGTGGGAAAATGAAGATGGCTGAATTTGAGTCTTAGGATTACTGTGAGGGTTTAACCAGGCCAATCTCGAGAAAATGGTTGGTAAATATCTCTAGCTGTAAATCTTCCTAATGATTGGTGATATCATATTTAGAAGACTAACATATTTCACTGTGCATGTATAATAGCTATTCAATATTGAACCACATATCTATGTACACATGTGTCTTTGTGCATGTGTGTACATGTGTATGGAGGCCAGCAGATAACCACCTTAGATGTTGGTTCCTCAGGTGCAGTTCTGAGACATGGTCTCTCACTGCCTTGGAACTTCCCAAGTAGGCTAGGCTGACTGACTTAGTGATATCCAGGGGTCTGCCTGGCCCTGCCTTCCCAATGCTGGGATTATGCATGTATGCCACCCTGCTTACTTTTTACATGGGTTCTGGAGATGGAGTGTCCTTATTTATGCTTTCAAGGCAAGATCTTAACCAACTGAGTTAACATGCCAGCCCCTAATATCTTAATTAAATGGGAATAGATGAGGCTGGGAAAGTTACTTAGGGCAATACCAAGTATGCATAAGATACTGGATTTGATTCCTAACACTGGGAGAGGGAAAGGGAATGAGCAACACCAGAGTAGTGGGTTATTACTTGAGGTCTTAAAATTGTGAAAACATGACAGCAAATCATTCAACCACTCAAGGGCTTCCTATTTACAAATATTATAAATGCTGATCCATATAGGGATAGAAGTTTAACTTGTAGTAGAGTGTAGAATAGACTGAGGACACCTATAGTGTCTCTTAACACACTAGGGTTCTAAAGATGCTTTATAAAATGGAGCAACAAATCCAACTCTAGAATTAGACAACTCTGCAACATGGGCGAAGGATGTTAGCATGAGGTCTCATATGCCGGTGGCCATATGTTATCATCCTAACTTTAGGTATGAACGATATTCTAATGTCCTGATATTTTAACATTACATCTTTAAATAGTTATGAGGTCTGGGCTAAGGAAACTTATTGAAGGAAATCATTTAACTCCCTTAGGAAGGTAAGGGACAGTGTCCCATCCCACAATTTCTACTCCCCCAGTTTTGAGAGGAATAAAATATATACTTTTAATAGAGGAATACTTTTGCAGTTACATATAATGGCATTGGAACAACTTGGGAAAAGTTGGAAGTTAAGGCCTTGAAATTGGACCTGACCTCAGTTAGGCATCTGCCTTCATGTCACTCAGTCTTTTCATAAGTAACATTGAAAAAGAGCATCTACCTGGTGGATTGGCGGGAGACTAAATACATGGAAGTACTTAGAAAACTGTCAGGTATGTGAGCAACACTCAGCAAATGATATTGCTCAGTATACACTTGAACCATGAATTCTATACTTATATTCTAGGTAAGCCCCACTGGATCTCAGCTTTGGAATCTTCAAAATAAATTTAGTTACCTATGATTCTGTTGCAATCAGAATTAAATTAGGGAATATGTTAAGTGTCTGGTTCACTGTGTGCCACAGTTAATTTTAGTTGAATCTAGAACTGAAGTCCATAGTTCAATTCTTTTCCCAGATTTAGAAAGATGGACTCAGAGAAGCCAACTTCATGAAAAGGAGATTATATATATATATATATATATATATATATATAATCTCCCTATGTAATAGATTATAGATATATGAACAGATTATATAAATATATGACTACATATATAAACTACTGAAGGCTCATAATTCTTTCCAATGTTCATTCATCCCCTACCATCTCTTTTTAACCTCTCAGCCTCCTCATGAATAGTAAAGGGCTGACACTACATAAACTACAAAAGGCCCATATTTGTGTAGGCAAAAGGAAGGTAAGCTAGATCAGCAAAGTACAGTGGGACACAGGCAGATGACCTATACATAGAACCCTCAGCAAGGCATTTCTGGATAGAATAAATGAATCCACTTATTCTAGTTGCATGTGAGACTCCTTGAGGACTAATGTATTCATTCCTGGGTTGTTGGGAATTCTGACAGCTGAGAACTTTTAGACTAATCCCTTCAGGCTGGGAAAACTTCACTCCAGCCAGTGTTTTGCCCTTTCCTCACCAGCAACCATGATTGGTCAACAAGGGGTATAGATCTGCCTTTGCCCCAAGGTGGGGCAACTCTCAAGGGTCATTCCAGCTCTGTTACTTTAGTAGCCAGTGTTTTCCTCTCCAAAATCTACTTACTTCACTTCCAGTGATGAACATGAACATACTTACCAAGTGTCACATGTGGGGTAGGAGTGGAAAATGGTGTCCAACAGTGCAGTTACAGTCAATTTAATGGTCTGTAAGCACTCTGAGAGCTTAAGACAGAATGAAAATACAAGCAAATTTATTTCTTCGGAAATTTTAATGGTAACCTTTGGGAAATAGCTCATCGCCTGGGTTGTAAATACTTCATCTTGAATCTCATACAGACAGTGAAACAAATCCTCAAGTCTTAGCTGAGATGGGAAAGAGTCATCATTTCCCAATAGTTCCAAACACTGAAGTAACTCCTTTTTTATCTCCAGTGATATCGTAATGTTGAAAGTTTCCTCCAGCTGTTTTATTCTATCTTTATTCAAAAGGCCAAACAAAAAGCATTTCATCTGTGCCAAATGAGGGTGGTGATAATGTTCACTCTGAAGTAACACATTCAAATTTTCAAAAAGTTGGAAGGGATAGTCTACTCCTTCCAGATTATCCCTCAACAAATAGAACATAGCTGCAAAAAACTCCTGAACATGGAGGTGAGTGAACACATAGCAGTTTTCACACTCTGTGTCCTTTTGAAGAACATTTGCCTCTAGAAAAACTGAGATGTCAGATCTGGTTAACTCATGCTTTCTGAGACTGTCTCTGTAGAGTACATGTGTCATAGTCCAAATGCCATTGGCAGCAGCCTGGCACAAGCTCCTCAGCACGGTTTCATTGGGCAGATTAGCAGAGTGCCCGTCTACCCGTGGAAATAAGCTGCAGATGTAGCAGGTAAACAGAGCCGTGGTGGTTTGGCAGGTCTCTGCAACACTGCCACCCTTCTCCACCTGCTGCTTCAGAGAAGTGCAAACCAGCCAGCACACAAGGGGGATACGGCACATGCTGAAAAGCCTTGCATTCTTTCTTATTGAACGGGCTGCATTCGTGGCCCATGTCTTACCTTTCAAAAACTGGTGAATATAGTCCATTCTTGCATTCTTACACAGTTCTTTTAGCCTTACAGAAAGAGGTTTCTTCAACAAAGGATGGAGTCTGTTCAAAGTCGTGATTCTTGTTGTCACTAGTAAGAATGATTCAGGGAGCATCACCTTCCTCAGCAAACTACTCATGAGGAAGGACACTGGGTGTTCCTGGGTCCAATCTCCACACAGTGCAAACTCTGGTTCTTCAAAGGCAAAGTTCAGTTCATCAAAACTATCAATAATAAAAAGAATACTGCTTGGCTGGGACAGGATCTTTTCAATGGGGATTTCAGTGCTGGGCCAGTCCTTTGATATTAGCTGTGCGAAGCTTCTCTCCTTCAGTTGGCTAATTTCTCTCCCATTGAGATAAAAAACATAGGTGAACTGGTGGTAGAGATTGCCCTCTGCCCAGTCTACCATTACCTTTCTCAACAATGTTGTTTTCCCAATTCCAGCAGCTCCCAGAAGCAACACTATCTTTGGCATTTTATGAGTTTTGACATTCACATCAAATGCATGTTCCAACAGTTTTCTGTTTTTCTGAGTAATTCCATAATTGAAATCTGCAGATTCTCCAAGCAAAGAGGTCTTATTCCATGTGATGCAAAATTTTTCCTTTATTTGAGTTCTGTAATCTGCTCTATCACCTAAGTCAATTAGAATAGAGCAGAGGGGGAAAAACAGACATAATCAAAACAAATTCTATTAATTTTCATGTTAAGAATATCAGACTTGAATAATACAGGGGGTTGGGAAGATGGTTCAGTGGGTAGCATGCTTTTTGTGCAAGCATAAAGACCCCAGTTTGGATCCTACAGCCCATGTAAAAAGTCAGGAGGCATGGTGGTGTGGAGACAGGGATTCCCAGGACTCAGTGGCCAGGCAGCCTAGCACAATTGGTGAGCTCCAGGTTCATTGGAAGACCTTGTCTTAGAAAATAAGGGAGAGAACTGAGGGGGACACTTGGCATGAACCTCCAGTCTCCACAGGGACACACCAGCACATGCATGTGCACACATATCCACACAGACACATATACAAATATACAAAATAATATGAGGCTGACATCAAAGCTAGGTTAGACTTTAAAGGGCTATACAAACAAAAATGTATCTCCCCAAACAGACAGAAACTGATGGAAGTAAAAATCAGATTCATTGTATAAATCTCTCATTTGTACCTTTTTTTTTTTTTTTTTGGTCTTTTTTTGAGACAGGGTCTCCCTGTAGCCCCAGCTGTCCTGGAACTCACTATGTAGACCAGGCTGGCCTTGAACTCACAGAGATCCATCTGCCTCTGCCTCCCGAGTGCTGGTATCATTTGTACTTTTACAGAAAAAAAAGAAAACCCTGATACCTCTGGAAAATATTTCCTAGGTAGATGATGATTCCAAAGTGAACAATTAATGATACTAACTAGGAAAGACTCCGAGACCATCCTGACTCTACAGATCAACAGAGGAAGAAATTTAATTCATTCAAGTAAAAAGTTTTAGAAATGAACATTGGAGCAAAGCCTGAATATTTTGAACCAAGAAAACACCCAAATGTGCTGGTTAATTTTTTTTCAACTTGACACAAACTAGAGATACCAGCCTCTGCCTCCTGGTGACTGGGATTACAGGCCTGTGGCACCATGGCTTCCTGGCTTTATCTTTCTAAATAAATGATGCACTTGGGTAGAAGCTCCATCAGTAGTTCACCACTATGCCCAGAGGACAACACATTTCTTTGCATAAAAGCAATATATTTACTGAATACAAGGAAAGCATTAATCATGTTAACTGACTACTATATGACTTCTGTATAAAACTATGAATAAATGGAAAAAGGAAAATATACAAATAATTATCGCTTAAAGAAATAGAAAAAATATGTATAATATGATCTTGCCCCGCAAAAGTGACAATATTAGCATGGCTAATAAAAGTGACAAATATTAGCATGGCTTTTGCTTTGTTCTGAGGAGACAGGGTCTATCGATGTTGCTCAGGCTGGTCTCAAACTCTATGCAGCCTAGGCTGCCCTGAAACTTGGGAGATCAAAACAAGAGGTTCACAAGGGCTGGGATTAACAGTGAGTACTGGTTATTTCTAAATGGCAGGACTGAAGATAAGGAGTGGAGGACTAAAATTCACTATGAACTTTTATAATATTTGAATTCTGTAAGAATATACCCAGGGGCTGGGGAAGAAGTCTTGGTTGGTAAAATGTTTGCTGTACAAGCATGAGAACCCAAGTTTGGATTCCCAGCAACCATGTAAAAAAATCTGGGCTTGGTGATGTGCACCTATAATCCCAGTGCTAGGGAGGCAGAGGTAGGGATATCCTTGTAGCTCATTGGCTGGCCAGCCTTGTCAAATTGGTGGGCTCCAAGATCAGCAAGAGAACCTGACTCAAAAAAGAGAAAGGAAAGATGGAGAGCAAGATTGCTGAGCAGATAAAAGCACTTGTTGCCCAAGTCTGATGACCTGGGTTTGATTCCTTGAACTTACATCGGAAAGAGAATTGATTCCCAAGAGTTGTCCTCTAACCTCCAAACATCCACTGTGTCATGTGCACACCCACACAAACATACACACACACAAATGAATAAACAACAAAGATGAAATGCAATAGAGGAAGACTTCTCACATTGACTACTGGTCTCTGCATGCACCTGCACACATACATGAACATATACACATGCATGCACCAAAGAATACACTTGTTTTGCTCAAATAAATTTGAAAAACAAAGAAATACATGAAAATCAAAGCATTTTGAAAACAATTAGTGATTAGCCAAGTAGAGAGGATGGGATAAATAACCAAAAACTAAACCCAACTATGAAGCTAATAATTCAAACAGTTATCTGATCAATAAGTTCTATTTTGCACTTATAATACTTTCCAAAGTTTCTATAATAGTTCCTTTTTTTATTAAGATTTCAGTTTTTATTTATATGTATGTGTGCCTATATGAGTTTGTGTGTACTGTGTGTGTTCAGGGCCCACAGAGATTGGAGGAGAGCATCGGAGCCCCTGGAACTGAGTTATAGGCAATTGTGAGCTGCCATGTGGTCCCTGGGATCCCAAACTGGATCCTCTGCAAGAGCAGTACACATCTTATCACATCCCCTCCTTTCCTTTAGAGACGGTACTATAAAGGGTTGGAGTGACAGCCAACTAGTCTATATAAAGTATGATTTTTTAGAACCAGATCTTCAGAGACCTAGATAATCATCTTCATTCCCCTTGGTTTGTTTTGAATATTGTTTATATCAATGCAATTTTAATAGAAAGAAAATTAAACCATGTGATGAACATTTATTCTTTTATGTGAAGGTGCCTGTATGTAAGAGGGTGAGCCAAGGGGGAGGGTGGGAGGAAAGAAGGGAAAAGGGGAGGGGGAGGGAGGGAGATGGAAAGGGAGAAGTATGTGTGTGCACATGGGTATATGCATGTTCATTTAAGTATGGGTACACGTGTGCCATGGTGTGGCGAATGGAGGTTGGGGGACAACCTGGGGTGTCTGTTCTCACCTTCCACCTTGTGAGACAACAAGAGACATTATCTCAACCACTGTGTGCACTAAGTTACCTGACTATAAGCTTCCAAGGATTTGTCTGTCTTCCCCACACCATCTTCCTAGCACTGAATCACTATTCTTTTTAAAAAATGAGATTTTTAATTGGATGCATGCACATGCATGTGCGTACATGAGTGCAGGTGCCTTCAGAAGCCAGAGGTGTCAGCTCCCCAAGGAGCTGGAGTTACAGGTGGTTGTGAGCTGCCTGATGTGATTGCTGGGAACTGAACTCGGGTCCTACGGAAGAGTGGTATGTGCTCTTAACCTCTGAGCCATCTCTCCAGGCCTGAATTCTTATTCTTAACCCAGATATACTGCTTTCTAATGAGGCATATTATTTCATCCAAGAAATAGAGAAGCTACTTCACTCTACACATGAATGCACTTTAAGAAGATTTATGTTTTGTGTATGGGGGTTTTGTTGGCATGTTGTGTATGTGCATCATGTGCATGCAGTGCCTGTGGAGGCCAGAAGAGGGTATTGGATCTCCTGGAACCGGAGTTATAGATGGTTGTGAGCTGCCAGGTGGGAACTAGGAAATGAACCTGGGTCCTCTGCCAAGAGCAGCAAGTGGTCTTAACCACTGAGCCATTCTCTCCAGCCCTCACCATTTCTTAACATATTATATGACCTAGAAGCAAACTTCCCACTCTAACCTTAATTTATGATTTACTAGAAGAGCTTTATTCTTGCAGCTTGAGGACAAACTCAAGGTTAATTTTTTATTGTAATATTTGTTAACTACTGGCCATTTCTTTCATATTTTCCTGCATTTACACACAAATCAATCCCTCTATATTATTCTTTGACAATCTTTGATAAAAATGCTGAGGAAAGATAATTACCCTGAGCTCAAAGCCACTATGGGCTACATAGTACTTGGCCAGCCTTAGCTACAAACTGTCAAAAAAAACCCACAAAAAATAAAAGACTGGGTGTGGCATGTGCCCATGTACCTTTAATCCCAGCACTGGGAGGCAGAGGCAAGTGGGTATCTGAGTCCCAGGCCAGGCAAGGCTACATAGTGAGACCCTATCTTTAAAAAAATAAAAAGGGGACTTAGAGAGATGGCTCAGTGGGTGAAGGCATGTGTTACCAAGACTGACAGTCTGGGTTAAATTTCCATGTTGCACATGATGGAAGGAGAGAACTGAGTCCCAAAAGTTGTCCTGACTCATACAGGTGTATGTGCCATGAGTGCATACACACACACACACGCACACACTCAAATATATCTAAAAATTTAAAACACAGAAATATACATGTTCCTCACAGTCAACTTTTGACTGATCATTTCTAATACTGCTCAAGAGCCTGATTCAATATGTTTCTGATTCTGACCTTGGCCATACAGCCGGTCTTACTGACTTCAAGACAGAGTCAGCAGTGGTGCACTGGAAGTTAACAACTGTTCAGTGGAACAAGGGTTCAGGGGGCTAACCCTGGTCTCATGAAGCTACAAAAACTCAGATGCAGATAGAAACCCATGTACTCACCCAGCATTGCCTCCTCATCACCATGATCCTCTTTTATGGCCTCAACATCCTCTGACTTCATGGTCTGCATTTGCCCTGCAACAGGTTTCAACAGAATGAGATTTAACGAAAACAGATTTGGGATGGTTAGAATGGGGACCAGCATTTTTTTCAATGTTGCAATTCTATGACCATATGGGTTTAGGAACACTAGAGCCAAGAGACTCCAGCTGCACCAGTTTAGCAGAGGGAAGAAGGGATGTGGGGCAAACACTCGAGTATGTACACACACTCTCACCTTTTAACACCAGACACAAAGTTTTTGCCTGTCCTGACTTTAGTGATATAGTAAAGCTCAAAAGAGATAATGGGTATATACCTGGAGTTGTAAAGCCTCACATATGAGACCTGGGTGCTGCCCAGGAAATTCACATGTCTATTTAAAATATTTCACAAGAGAATGACCAAAGATACTTATTTGGCTTTGCCTTTTTAGCCCACTGCACATTTCAGAAAATAGGTTCATCCTATCAGACATTTCTCTGAAGTCTATGGCTTTATCTATAGTCTAGGCACAGGCACATTTACTAGGAATTATCTTATCACTCATTCCTTAAATTATTTTAATAGGTACAGGTGGTTGAATCATTCCTGACTAAGGAGCCCTCCTGAGTAACAGTATTCAAACCCACACTGTTTCTTCAATGTTCCTCACATGATCCAATGACTCCTGGGAAGGAACGCTGTCCCTACCCCCAGATAGGTCGTTAGCATCACTCACAGTTGAGCTCTGCTTTTGCTCGTTTACACAGATCCCTTAGGTTCATCTTGCCAAAGATTTTGAGAGTCATTTTCCAGGCCTGCTCTCCTGGATAGTGTTTGTTCATCAAGCAAGCCAGTTCCTCCCGCTTGGCCTTCTTCACTGCAGTCCATGGTATTGGGCAGCACCCAGGTTCTATGGTCTCCTTTAGGAGTAACTTGAATTTATTTAATTCCTCATTGTTCAGCTCCTCCAAATAAAATAGCAGTCCAAATTCAGAAAAGAAGGAAAATGACATCGGTGAATCTGCCATCATGTTCTTGGGTCAGGATTCAGCTTTGTGGGGAAAAATAATTTAAGACAGAATAAATGGGACCCATAGAAAAGTATGAAGGAGAAGATGATCTCTAGAAATATCAATTAATCCAACAATCATTACAGTCCACTGTATAGGCTAAGTGCTGACCTAGCATCTCCTGTAACACATCTTATATCATAAAATGTCTCTGGACTATACAACACTGTATTGTTTGTCTGAACCCTTTGGGAGTTTTTCCTAGCCCTACCACTTATGAGCAACAAAAGTTAGGACAGGCAATTCATCTCTTTAAAACCTCAGTCTGCCCTTCTCTAAAGAAATGACATCAGCACCAATTTCAGAGGAGTGTAGCATGGTTCAAATAAGGAAGTTTATGTATCATCCAGCACAGAACAGGCTTGCTTACATTAAATACTTAGTTACAATATTCATCCCTCTCTCCCTTACCAACACCAGACATATCTCAGTCTAGCACAAAACACTGTTAGTGCAACCTGGCCAATAAGTTATTCTGCTTGAAGTGCACTTAATATAAATATGCCACCATCTTCTGTTATCATGTGATTCTGGTTAAAAAATATACATATACATTATATATATAT